CCACTTTATTTTTTTTTGTTTGTGAAAAACAAATTAATAATGTGACAAAATGTTTATGCGTTTGGTGGGGGAAAAAAAAGGCAGGATAAAAACTGCAAATGTTGTTTTCCAGAAAAACAAAGAGAAGGAAGAAGGGAGGGATAAATGGAGGAACAGAGAGTGGAAGTAAACATACCAAAATTAAAATAATGCTTATCTCTAGGAAACAGTATCATGGATGATTGTTATCATTTTATAATTTCCTGAATTTTCATAATATTTCACAGTGGGCATATATTACTTTTATAATCAGAAAAAAATATTTTTATTTAACATAAATCTTAAAGATAAAGAAATACTGGTTTTAATATTGTTCTCAATCTTTTAACCATAAAAATAATGGCCTGTTATATTAGATGCTGATCATGCTTTACAAAAATAGACAAAATGACTACATACGCCTGGGTCTGAAAGAAATCAAGTAAATAGTCAAACTTTGATTAAAAAAATATACTGTAGTTCTCAAATTTTAGCTTGTATAAAAATTGTTGGACATCTAGTTAGAAATGCAGATTTCTCCCAGACAAGAAAAAGCTAAAGGACTTTATCAACACCAAACCAGTATTAAAAGAAATGTTAAAGGGACAAAAAAGAGGAGGAGGAAGAGGAAGAGGTGGGGAGAAGAAAAAAGATTAAAAATATCCTTACCACTTTAAAACTGAATGTGTACATCAACCTCTAAACTACCTGATGCACTCTCTGCCTGACTTGCAACCCAAAGTCCAAACCAACTTTCCTTACTGCTCAGATTCTGTTAACTGTTTTTGGATTTAAATTAGCTATTCAGTTTAGCAGAATCTTATAAAATGCAATGTAATTTCACAATACCTTGAATTAGAACAGTTTCCTATCATATCTCACCTTGCTTAATCACAATTTCATGCCTCTGTACAAATGATTTTCCCCACCTAAAATACCTTTTCTCCTTAAAAGTCAATCAACATGCTCAAAACCAACGATTTACTTTTTTCATGAAGTTTTATGAAACTAATGCCACACACTCTATAGTGACCTCTCATCATGTATTCCCCTAATATTTATATCTGAACAATACTATCTCAAAATAGCATACATACTTTTTTACTTAACAAATTTACCACATGCCAAGCACTCTAAATCAATGTGAACTTATTTCTCCTAAGAACCCTAAGAAGTATGATTAGATCAATTTTCCTCGATAGAGGTACAGAGAAGTTACGCACACAGCTGGTAAATGGCAGAGCCTGGATTCAAATCCCGAAGTCTGGCTCTAGACCATGTGCTCTTAACTATTACACTACGCTTCCTTGCTCCCTTAAATTGCTTGTAATACATTTCAACTTTGCCCCAAGCTCAAGGCATTGTCTCTCAAACTAACATTCAAACTCTTTAAGGGATGCACGTCTTTAACTTTTTATATCCTTCAACAGCTTTTTTATAGACTTAAGCATATTTTTAGTGAATACTTGCTGAATTGAAACATAAGAAACTTTAAGTACTCAAGTCCAGTTTACACTATGAGAATAATTTTTAGGCAAACTAAGCTGCAATAAAGTGCTCCAGCCTTTCTATAATGCTTAAAGGAAAAATACCATAGATAACTGTAAAATAGCCACAGAGAGATCCAAGGCATTTCACTGTGTATATATAAAATATCAAGCCCTAAAATATAACTGTGGCACAAAACTGTATGTATGAAGTTGCATTGTACCCTATGTTTATCTTTGGAAGGCCATTTGTCCCAGAAACTAAATGTTTAAGTGACACCAGATTTAAAAAATTACTTACAGATCTAAACACTTATAAAACGTAATTTCTTTAATTTTCTTATAATTCGAATATTATAATACATGAATCTAAAAATTAAAACATAATATAAAAGTGCAAGGAAATTCCCTAACAACTCTAAGAGTAAGACAGCTGAGACTACTGAGTTAAACCAACAGAAAGCAGATTATAAATACAACTCAAGCCAAATCATCCCTTCAAGTGAGAAAAAGGCTGACGCCAAATGAAAAGAGGTATATTATATGAAGTATTGAGTGGAGCTATCTGCAAGTGAGGAAGAAGAGAACCTAGGTCTGATATTAATTTCCATTTGTATTTGTGGCTAGGAATAATAAAAATTAAAGACAAATTACTGTAGTCAGTGAATGTAAGATGCCTGTGACTGAAAACAGCACCATTATTTTATGTACCTCCAAAAAAGGAAGGAAAAAAACCCTGTTACTTTAATTATGATATGCCATCAATTGTTAGACAAACCCAGATTTAAAAAATGTTTTAAAAAATAGATTTTAGAATTAATGAAATATAGTTAAGTGACTAGGTAGGATGAATCAGACATGAGATTTAATTCAATTCAGGAAACGTTACCATTAACTATAATCAGAAACTATGCTAAAATTTAAGGACATAAATACAATTCGGCAGACTCCTTCCCCCTCACAGTGCTCGCAGTTAAGAAATTAACGCTGAAAGAGATATTGGAATAATAAATATCAAATGACTGAAATACTCATGCCTTTTGTACATTAATCCTAAAGAAATAATGCGAAAGGAATATACTTTTATGCAAATTGGCCACTGCAACAAAAGAGAGTAAAATTTGAAACTTCGAAGCCTAACCATTAGGTTTTTTGCTAAATGGAAAACTATGTAATGACTTAAAGTATAACTTGAAAGACTGTGGAGCAACATAAAGAAATACAATTAAGGAAAAAAGTATGGAAAAATATATGTATACACCAATTCTAACTAAATAAGAATTAGGTATAATAAGAGGAAGATAAAAAGAATATTATTGGGACATAGGTTCAAAATGTTCAAAACCTTGTTTTTAAACAAAATCTATGTTTCTAAACATAGATCGTAGATTAAATAATACAGTAGTAGTCCTCTCCCGCCATCCACGGCTTTCCTTTCTGCAGTTTCAGTTACCTGCATCAACTTCGGTCAGAAAATATCAAATGGAAAAGTCCAGAAACAAACAATTCATTAAGTTTTAAATTACACGCTGGGTAGCATAATGAAACCTCTCGCTGTCCCCACCCAACCCAGGACAAGGATTATCCCTTTGTCAGGGTATTTGTATATGTCACCACCTCCTCGGTCACTTAATAGCCATCTAGGTTATCAAATCAACTGTATCACAGTACTTATGTTCAAGTACCAATTACTTACTTAATAATGCCACATTCACATGACTTCTATTAGAGCACACTGTAATTGTTCTACATTATTATTATTAATCTCTTAACTGTACTAATCTATAAATTAAACTTTATCATATATATATGTGAAAAAGCATAGTACACATACAGTTTGATACTATCTGCAATTTCAGGCATTTGCTGGGGACCTTGGAACATATCCCCTATGGATAAGGGGGGATTACTTAGTATCATTTAATTGTTAAATTTCCTCATTTTGGTATTAGTATTATTGCTATTAAGAGAATGTTCTTGTTCTTAGGAAATACATAATAAAGTATTTAATGGTAAAAAGAGTACAGTATTTCCAACTTGATTTCAAAGGGCTCAAAAACATATAAACAAATCCCAATATACACACACGCACGCATGTTGGACAAAATATAAACAGTCGGTAAATCACAGTAAAGGATATACAAGAGCTCCTGTTACTCTTCCTGCAACTATCACTAAGTCAAAGTCACATCAAATTAACAAGTTAGCAAAACAATTAAGTAGACTTGTGATCAAAAATGGAAAAATACAAAAATAAATGCAATTTAAAATGGAAAGACTGTGGATGCTCTAATTTTGTTAATAAGCATTAAGTAATTTTAATAACTTAAGCAAATTAAAAGAAAAATACAGAAGTCTTTTGGTAGTGATAAAATATGAAGTGAGGAGTAGTATGCTCAAGTGACTGTGATGATGCCAGATATGTAGTTAGTAGGATGTCATGAGTTGAGTTGTGCTTTAAGTCTAGATGAGTCTTATTTCAAAATAGTTTACTTGCTCGATCCAGAAAATAGCTAATGATAAAATAAAGAAATATTATATCTTAAACTTAGAAAATAAAATGGAGTCTACGCAACCATAATGGGCAGCAATTATTGTATGTAGAAAAACTAGAATAAGCTTACTCAAAATATCTGTATCTTTAATTGGGCTTAATAAACAGCAGTCAGATGTAGTAAATATTAAGACTATGGACTTAACTGATGAAAAAATTATCAATATATAGAATAAAAGCCTATTGAATGCTATCTTAAAACCATAAAAACCTTGAATAAAAATTTGTGAACACTCAAGTGTCAAATAGTATTGGAAGTGAAGATGCTAAAGTACCACTGTGAAAAAGATCTAAAAAAAATTATTAAATACAACTTTAATAATATACATATTTAGGTCTCGAATGCTTAACACCATGACATAAATTGGTGACTAAAATATAAGACAAAAACTTGCTATTTGGTCAGAATTCTAAAATTCAAACTTAAGAAAGCTTTCTGTAAACCTTTAGACAGTATACCACTATCCACAAAAAAAGCTGCCTGGAGAAGTTAATAAATTTCCAAGACTACAAATTATTATTTTATTGTATTCTTCATATCCTTGAGTGATGTAGGTATAACAAATTAATATTGCAAAACTGATAGGTCAGAAGAAAAAAAGAGACAAATGTGTTGCACACAAACAGAAAAAAGATAACAAAATCCCTTGGTATCTGGGTTTCTGTAAAGAGAATAAACATATTCACCCATAATTTTTATGCTTAAGAATATGAAATCAAATTTCTATCCCAAATAAAACACAAATGAAATACAATAAAGAGTAATGAAAAATAATTTGTCCTCACAAAATATTCAGAAAATTAAAAAGAGCTAATTATATTTACTGAATTATATAAAGCAGCTTAAGTTTTCACTGATGTCAAATCTTTAAAAAAAAAATAATTTTTAAAAGGCAAAAGCAAACATCTTTATAAACATACTGACCATAAATTAAACTTACCTTTTTATCTTCTTTTACTTTATGAGTTTTCTTTTTCATTTTCTTATCATCTAATTCCTGGTCTGAAGTGATTGCAGGGTTATCAATACCACCTTTCCATGTTTCAACAGGAGAAAGAAGTGGGTCTTCTTCACTTCCACGATGTCTTCCTTTTCTTTTTGTTTTAGAAGTAGTGAAAGCCTCATCATCACTTGCATCTGAATGCGTTCTTCTATAGTATGATTTGGCTTTACTAAACAGGGTTTTAGATTTATACTTGTATTTTGAAGGCCTCCGTTCCCCATGACTTTTTGAGGTTCTATCGGAAAATCCATTTTCTTCATCTCCTTGAGTGTTATTTACAAAGGAGTTTCGAATTTTAATAATGCGATTCTGACTATCATCTGGGACAACATATATCTCATCAGAATAGCCCTTCTGTTTGAAAATTGTGTCAATGGGTTCCGCATAGTTATCCGAAGAATCCATATCTTCAGGATGTGCCAAAGGCACCCGGGAAGTCTGTTTTCTTGGATTTTTACCAATACCAGCTTCAATTGTTTTTAAAAGGTTTGGATCCAATTTTTTCACATTTGTCTTAGGTACAACTGGTTTAGGTTTAATAGGTGGAGGCACTTTATGGTTGCGTTCGTGGTCATGACAGTTGGGGGTACTATGAATAGGATATTCATTGCCTTCCAAATCTAATCTATATCTGGAACGGTCACTAGGTGTCGGAAGCAACTGTACATCATCCCCAATAGGACTATAAGGAGGTGGTGCTTCTGTATCATCATCTGAATCAGGGTAGTTATTATAAGGAAAACAGTCTCTGGGAGATGGTAGAAAAACATCCTCACTTTGATGGGTTGATTCCCTTGTATTATCTGATAAATATGAATTTTCTATCATATTTTTTTTCTCTAGAACATCACTGAAAAACAGTGTAAAGACCTCGGTTTGCCGATGATACTGAGATAAAGAATACAGTGCTGTAAATTTAGCAGTGATCTCTGTTGCAATGTGTTCTCCTTCAGTCATTAACTCCTTGATAGCCTCATTTTCAAAAAAATCTGCTTGGCTGTCGGTAACTGCCACCAGCTGTACAGGAATGGTGTCCTGAACTTCTGAGAGAAATGCTCGAAGCATTCCCATTGATGCTTTCCGTTTGGCAGAATAAACTAATATATATCCATGAACCAGTTCATCTTTCCTTACTCCAATTGATGAATGATATGATAATATTGTGATCTGTATTCGCCTCCTTTTTTCGCCAATGATTTTATCAAGCATTAGGGAATTATTCTGTCCAGCTTGAGCAGCACTGCAAGAATGAGAATCAAGGAAGGGTGAAAGAATAAGATCCACACTAAATGGATCACCACACATGGCACACATGACAATTCTCAAGTCGGCTTCTGATACATCCTTATTGGTGGGAACTGGGCTCACCACATCTAAATTATGTTTAACTGATTCTAATACTCCTCTTAGAGCTTGCTTTACTTGGGTTTCATTAAATTTGCGAGGATATGTACCAGCAGGTACATCTACAAACGGGCACTGTAACTTGTTTGCCAACTGTTGCCCTTGGTGCCTGAGAATTGGCAGATTCTTACTAATAGAATCTCTCTGATTAGCCAGAATTAATGTAAATGGAAGATTAGCCATATATTTATCTTTTCGGATCTGAGAAGCTTCAGTCCTTATTTTTCCAATAAACTCCCCAATAAAATTCAGTGACTCAATGGAGTTAAATACACAGAAGCACCCATGTGGTTTAAAGGCGGCAGTCCATAACTGACTTAAAAAGTAAGGCGACTTGGCATCAACTGGTCGAAGATCAAGTTCATAAATTTTTCCATCTAAGGCATACTCATCATCAGTGGATT